TTTACCAAAACCTTTTTACTCCTTGCAGCTAAGGAAAAAACCCATGACGCAACAGACTGGAGTGGTACAAGTGCATAAGGTATGAAAGAGTAAAATTCACCTTAGCCTTAGAAGAAAGATGTCTTAAACAAGCCACTGCCCTCCATACCAACGGACCAGCTTGGGCCAAGCAAATATTAAAAAGACGACAGAAATCAAGAATAACAGGGTTTACAGGGGTTTAAATCCCAAAGTAAAGGGATAAGTATAAACGAAAGTATAATTCTTCCTACAAGAAGAAATCATTTGTTCTAGAGTAGGGACAATTAAACGAAAACTATCCTTCCAATTACAATCCTTTCTAATAGTAGGAAGTGTGAGTTCAGTTATAAGAGTAGTGAAATTATCAACCTTTTCAATTTTTTCAATCTGCTTCTTGAGAGACATTTGGCACGATTTCTTCTACTAAAGGTTCTTGGGAATCAGAATCCTCTTTACCTTTGGAAGAAGAGGTTTTAGAGGTGGAACCCTTGACACCTAATTTTGGGGAAGAAGAAGCAGAGGCACTCGAACCGCCACGAATGGATCTAGTACTCCGAAGTCTACCATTGCTGCCTCTTCTATGCCTGGCAACCAGAGTAGGGGCATTGGGAAATTTATCAAGAATTTGAACTTTTTTAGGGTTAGGATTTGGAGACGCCATTGCTGATCAAATTCAAGAAAATATGGAGATGCTTGATGAAAGTTTATGGAAAGCCTATATTAAAGGCAACTATCACTTCGTGAAAAGAGGGAACAAGCCTAGGAAGAAGGAAGCAGAATTGCAGAGCTAATTAAAAGGTGACACATGTGTGATGCATTAAATGGAAAATATGGTTTAGGCGTCAGTATTGTCATAAGCATTGATTACGACAAAAATTCTCTTTATTGAAGATCCACTTTCCAATTATTTAATAAATAAATAAAAGGAAAGTGAGGGGACTATCTATATTGGGAAAAACTGAGTTCTTATTAAATGTAACGTGGCATGACACGTGGACCGATTAAAGGCTTAATAGGCGAAAGAAGGATAAGAGGTACGAGCAACAATAGACATGGGAAGAAGAGTTCAAGACAGGCACGGGCGAAGTTAAGATAGGTATCCCGTACCTAAACAAGGCATTTAAGACCAAAGGTTTGTAAAGGTTCAAAAGACATGAGTTTGGTAGTAAAAAAAAACAGTCCAAATATAGCATTAAATACCAAATACGTCAGTAAATTGGTATTTAATAGCAACGATTGTATGATACCTCATTAAATGTCTGTTGTTATTCCCATTTAAATTAAGAAATCAAGCTGTTACTCCTTATGAGCTGTAAAAGGAGAAGGTTTCATCATTTGTAGGCTATTTCGTAGGATAAAGCTGCAGGAAACATGGTATAGTGCTCTAAGCACTATTTCTTAGTGCTAATTGTTTATAGTTTAATAATGGGCCCCTTGTAAAAAGGCTCCTTTGTAGATTACTACTGGTAACATTATGCCCTCAGATGGTTAAGGGTTCAAAGCAATCTGTGATTCTATAAATAGCTGCCTTGGCCTTAGTCGAAGGATCATCGAGGAATGAGTAAATCATTTTTCACATAACACTTCTAAAGTTGTATTGAATTATTACTCTTTCTTTTATTCCATCATCATTTACAGAAAGCCCTATTATTTTAGTCTCTTGATTATCAGTAACCCGTTATTTTGTATTAAATTCAAGCTTTAGCCAAAGAACTAATTTTTGGTTAAACACCTATATGCATGTGTTTGGACAATGAGTTTAACTAATATCTGCCGTTGATCAGGTAGCTCTAAAGCCTTTTACAAGTAGCAGTCGAAATTGCTGAACAAATGGAAGGAAGAGAAAAGTTAGTCCAGAGAGATTACACAAAAAGCAACATAAAAAATAACTTACTATGTATAACTTAAGATAATTCTAGTAATAAACTTAACATAAAAGGACTCTACTCAAATCAGTGCTCCGACTCCTTTTTCCTTCTTGAGCCATCGAAACATCATTTTTATCCTTTTGAGGTAGAGGTAAGGTATGTGTACATTACTCTCCCCAGACCCCCGAATAGAGGCAGAGCTAGGATTTTAATTTTACAGATTCTGAATTTTTTAATGAAACTTCTTGTCACGACCCAAATCTATGAATCGCGACGGGTACCTGGTACCTTACTCAACAGAGTACCAACATAACATATCATCCTTATCGTACTTTCATTGGCAGATGGGCCAAATGAGCCATCATGGGCTAACCAGAATAAACATAGAGGAATACTCAATATAGAACGACCCAACCTGATATAAAAACTCATACCTGTGACGGGCCTATAAGGCCAATATGATCTATTATATACTTAAATATAGGCCGATAAGGCCATACAAGTATCTGTATGCATGACATCTGTCTATAAGCCTCTAAGAGTACATACTTATCACAAAGGTAGGGACAGGGCCCCGCCATACCAAACAATACACGTCTAAATCATACTGACCAAACAAACAACTCCGGAGCAAATTGAGCGCACCAACATCTTCTGCTGATCTGATGGCCTACATGGGGAAAACTCAACCTGTCTATCGGAACCTGCGGGCATGAAACGTAATGTCCCCAGGAAAAAGGGATGTCAGTACAAATAATGTACCGAGTATGTAAGGAATAAAAATTAGTAAATAATAGACATGAGAGAAACATGGAGTAAAAGACTCGACATGTAAGTCTGAATAACTCTGTGAATCATTAATACGTATAATGCCATGCATATGCGTATAAATATCATGTCGTGCATATGTACATGTGTTCATAACATCATCAAGCCTCCGAGGGCATCCCATCATATCATCTCGGCAACTGTGGGCAAAATCATCAACGTGTACCAGCTAATCAGGTGGTGGTGCATATATAACGTCGTAACCTTTTTTCTCTATCCCATATATATATATATATATATGAGTATATAATACCATCTGGTCATGGGTCAATGTAAATGAATGCAATGCATGAGAAGTACGTCAATAAAATCTCTCGGAATGTCATAAGAACATTATGCCTTTGAATAATATCATGAAGTAAACTTTATCAATTTATGTATTTTCTGAGACCCATGAACAGACGATAGAACAATAAGACATATGGGAATTCAAGAACATATGTATCTCTAATACTCCTATGAATAGAGTCATTTATGAAAGTTGTGCATTTGTTCATTTCGTTTGTATCGTATGGATCATGACAAAAGAAAGAAGGAATAACCTTAACATACCTGAGTCGATTCTTTTGACAATCCCTCTAACACACGCCAATTGCGATAAAACATGTGACGGCAAAATCGGAATAAGAAAACCTCCGTATAATATTCTTGAGAAAGATTATACCGGGCTTCCTTAGAATTGCATTTTACGCTATTGTAGCATTGTAAATGTTTATGAGAATTCCCCCTGAGAAAGGGAATTCCATCCGTTAGCTAAGTATGGACCTTAATGAATTAGGGAGATAGTTTTTTTTATCAAAGAGAGTGCCCACTTTTAAGGTGACTAAGATTCAAAACCCTTTAGGGGCCGTTTGATTGGAATATAATTTATATCGGTATAAGATATGCCGATATAAATTATATCGGGAAGTATGGACATTAATGAATTAGGGAGATAGTTTTTTTTATCAAAGAGAGTGCCCACTTTTAAGGTGACTAAGATTCAAAACCCTTTAGGGGCCGTTTGATTGGAATATGATTTATACCGGTATAAATTATGCCGGTATAAATTATATCGGGAAGTATGGACCTTAATGAATTAGGGAGATAGTTTTTTTTATCAAAGAGAGTGCCCACTTTTAAGGTAACTAAGATTCAAAACCCTTTAGGGGTCGTTTGATTGGAATATGATTTATACCGGTATAAGTTATATTGAGCTAAGTTATGATGGGATTCGTTATGCTGGGATTGTTGTTTATACATTGTTTGGTATGTTGTATTAAGAATGAAAATTGCATAATTTCTTAGAAGAAGGTATAAGTTATACTTATGCTAATTACCCCACCTTCTATAAGGTATAAGTTATTCCAGTGTTNTATATATATATATATTGATTGGGTATTATAAGTCATTAAACATAAGATAGTCTGTTATTAATTTTTTGAGCAAATTCAATTACAAAATAATTATCACAAAGTAAATTATTTTAAGAAATAAAAATTTAATATGGTTGATATAAAGGACATAATAAACTAAGATACGACTATATTTGACATATTTCAACTAATATCATCAGAAAATATATTAAATATAACTAAATGACTGACACCTATTTAAATTTAATTTCTAAGTAGAGAAAAATTACGCTACATTTATAAAAATGTAACTAAGTTTTTTTAACTTTCTATTTATTTTTCACATGTATTTGATTGGATAAAAGTCAATTATAGCATATATAAAATGATATAGATTAAGATTGTTAGTATTGAAACTTAATATCGAATAATCTTATAATTTCATTTTCTAACATCATCTCTTGATCAAATCCTACCATTATTAATAAAAAGCTTAATCATGTGTATTTTAATAGGATTAGTGAAATAATTCTTACTAATTATCTAGTACAATGTATTTAATTTTTGTAATTAGTGTATTTTTTATAAAGATAAAAATTAATATGTTATTCGAGAAATATCAATGAAAATTTTAAAAATAACTAAGGATACCTTAAATTTTAAAGTAATATAAATTTAATTTGCTATTACTGGGAAAAGAGTGTTTTATATAATTTATGGAATCCTTAATTAATGCATCCCTTAATTTTTTTTTTTTGAAAAAAAAAGGGTAAGCATTTTTTTTTGGTTAAAACAAAATTTTATTTAACCAAGTATAATATTTACAATCCTTTAGCTCTTTTGGACTCTAGAGCTAATTTCTTTACATCAAATCCTATAATTCTCTATGCAGAACTATAACAGACAGTACTATTGAACTATCACTGCCTAGCTATGCTACATCCACTAACTAGCTAGGATGACTGTTTAGTTTTTCTAACTCTCTCTTCCATTTTTCTATTTTCTGGCCTCGAATGTGTAGCATTTGAACAACTTCTTTGATTCTCCTGCTGCATTCTATCTCTTTTCCTTGGAATCTTCTATTGTTTCTTTCTTGCCATACATGGTAGATCACTGCTGTAAATAAGAATACTAAGATTTCTCCTTTGCTCTTACTTACAGCTACCTTTGCCATCCATTCTATCTCCTCATCCCAGCTTCCTATTTGATGTTGCATTCCTGTCCATCTCAGCATTGTAGCCCACATGGTTCTTGAATATGCACAGTCAAATAGTAGGTGATCCAGTGCTTCCTCCTCATTGCTTCTATATAGAACACAGTCTTTACTTACCATCAGTCCCCATCTTTGAAGTCTCTCAACTGTAGCCAATCTTCTATGTAGTGCCAACCAGAGAATAAACTTGTGCCTAGGTATAGCTTTAGAGGCAATAGTTAATCTCTTCCAATTGCACTTCTGAAATTGTGGTCTTGAGGCATTGTACAACTTCTTTATACAGAACTTCCCATTCTTGCAGAAGTTGCTCAGGGATTCATTGGGATTGTTCTGTCTAAACCACTCTCTTACATCAAAGATCTTCTTCACTATCCAACTTGCCTGCTTTGGGGTATTCATATTTTCAACATCTCTTTTTTTTATGTAGAAGCTGTGCACCCATTGTATCTACAAAGTCTCTTTCCTTTCAGTTATGGCCCATAGTAGCTTGCATAAAGCAGCCTTGTTCCAGCACTGAAAATCTATAACATTCAGCCCACCTGCAGATTGTGGCTTGCATATAGTGTCCCAAGCTATCAATGCTTTCCTAGAGGATTCTTTGCTCCCAGTCCACAAGAAGGTTCGACAAACTGTAGTTATCAGCTTTATGATCCTCTTTGGTAATGGAAACACCTGTGCCCAATATGTTTGCATCTCAAATATCACACTTTTGAGCAGCTGCAGTCTTCCACTATACGACAAGAATTTTGCTGTCCATCAGTTAATTCTTGCTGTTATTTTCTCAACTAGTGGCATCCATTGTTGAATAGATAGCTTCTTTGAAGATAGTGGCACTCCTAAGTACTTAAAAGGAATTTCTCCTAGAGTAAATTGTAGCTCTTCTAATATCTGTTCCTTAAATTCATTTGACACACCTGCAATATATAAAGCACTCTTCTCCATATTTGCTCGCAATCCTGATACTTCAAAGAAGTGATTGAGCCTCCCAAGTAGTAGTTGAATTGAAATTCTATCTGCTCTGCTGCATAGTATCAGATCATCTGCAAAGCAGATGTGTGTTATATGATTCCTGGAGCACTTTGGATGATAGTTAAAATCTGGCATGTGTTCCAGCTTCTTCAAGGACCTATTAAGGTACTCCATCACCAATACAAATAAGTAGGGTGACATGGGATCTCCCTGTCTTAACCCCTTTTTTGCTTGGAATTTCTCTGTTAGACCCCTATTAATCAGCAGAGAGTAGCTAACAGTAGTCACACACTCCATTATCAGTTCCACAAATCCTTTAGGGAAGCCATATTCTATCAGTATCATCCTTAGAAATGGCCACTCCACAGAGTCATATGCTTTCCTTATATCAACTTTGATGCAGCATCTAGGTGAGACTCCCTTTTGATTGTATCCTCTGACAAGCTCATGAGCTATGATTACATTGTCCAAAATGTTTCTCCCCTCTATGAATGCAGACTGAGTAGGTCCCACAATAGAGTCAACCACCAGTTTCAGTCTGTCTGTGATGATTTTTGCTATAATCTTGTACAGAGTGGTACAACAAGCTATTGGTCGAAACTCCTTGACAAATCTTGGGCTTGTAACCTTTGGAACCAAAGTCACAGTAGTACAGTTGATACTTTTCAGCATTTTGCCTACTCTGAAGAACTCTTGAATTGCTTCTCTGCTCGAACAACGAGGGTACTTCACAGGCGCCTCAGACCAAAATGCGTACAAGCATCTAAAAGGGTTTGTGGATACTTGTTGGGGGAGCAAGCATATGAATGTTTCTGAAGATGCACCGAGGCTAAGGCTTTTCCCCTTCTCACTTCGGGGGAAAGCGCTTGACTGGTTAGAGAGACTCCCCAATCATTCCATCACCACTTGGGATGAGTTAGCGGATAAGTTCATTGCCAAATTCTTTTCGCCTAGTCATATGGCGCCTCTTAGAGATGAGATCCTAGCATTCAAGCAAGAGCCAACGGAGCCTTTACATGAGATTTGGGAGAGGTTTCGGACGATGGTGAAGGAGTGCCCCAACAACGATATGAATGATGTCATGATCCAACAGACTTTCTATCGGGGTATAAACACAACAAATCAGTGCATTGTTAATCAGCTGGCAGGTGGTAACTTTATGAAGCTTCCATACGACAAGGCTTGCGATGTTCTTGATGAAATGGCCGATACTTCATCGGCATGGAGACCCCAATGTTATACATTTGCACAAAGAGTTACATGATCACGGACAAGTGCTAATGTTCCCCAGGGAGACCCTAATGTTATATGTCCCGCGATCTTGGCTACTACTGGCTCCGACTAGCTGTTAATGTTATCTTAGCTTTAGGTGTTGGCACTATCTACTATCATGTTGGCTTTTCTATTGCTTCAATTCAGGTAATGAATCGAGATACACATGACATTTCCTCCTCTACCTGATGTTTTAAACTACCAAATTAAATTTACTCGAGCATTTCGTCTACTTTGCTTTGATCCTCTTTACCTGCATGATATTGTTTGAGAGCCTAATGATGATCGTAGCAAGCATAATAAGGTGAAATTCAAATGATCAATGGGGACGACATTCTGAGAGATACATGGCAAATTAAGATGGATTATTCAAAGTGGACGGACCTTGTCATTTTACTCGGGATGGTAGTTTTGTACCGGATATTGTTCTTGCTCTTTATCAAGGTTGGTGAAAAGGTTAAGCCAGCTATAAGATCATTCATGTCTATCTCGCCTAACGAAATCAATTCTGCAGAAAGACCTTTGGATGAATTTGTTTCCTAAAATATGTATCCTTTGTTTTTTTATAACGACGAGGCTTACTTGGGAGCACTTGCTCCTAAGCGCCGGTCATGATCCTAAATTGGGTCGTGATAGAATATGATCTTGAATTTATTCGAGATGTGAGTAATACTCAAATTGGCGAAGAATATGGGCCATGAGTTCCAAATATGAGTGTGTATACCGTCATTGATGATACCTATGATGCTTATGCTACTTATAACGAGCCTGTGCCTTTCACAAGTGCAATCAAGAGGTAAACACATAAAGTCAATAATCAATCTTTGTCCTTTAGACTATGTTATAAGTCAAGTAGGTTGCTGAAATAAACAAAATCCAATATTGATAGTTGAAAAGAAAAAAAGTTATATATAAAGTATAAGACTACTCGTAATTAATGAAGTGAGGTATTAGATATTGAAATCTAGTGAGTGCAGATTGAATAGTATTTTGATGAAACTTTGTGTACAAAAATTAACAATAATGTTTAAGTGTTAGTTGTAAAGACAATAACTTTCGTCCATAAGTGAGAGGAGTCTTTTTCTCCTTGTAATGTATATTTAGATTTGGTTGTTTTTATTACATATTATAGCCTGTTTGGTCAAGCTTCTCTGTGACGACCTAATCCGTCGTCTCTTGTATCCCCATCCCGTTTTTCCCATTTTATGCTTCTTCATGTGTTATTATACGTGTTTGGTGAGTTCGAAGTGGTTTGGATTGAAATTGGATAGAAATGAGACAAATAGTCTCTTTAAGGAAAGCTTAAGTTGGAAAAGTCAACCCAACATTGACTTATGAGTTAGAGGGCTCAGAACGGATTTCTGATGGTTAGTCTAGTTTCGGGGGATGATTCATGACTTAGGAGTGAAAACGGAAGTGAAATCGGAGGTCCGGTGTGAAAGTTAGCTTAGATTGACGAAGTTGGAATTTCGGAGAAATCCGGTTGATAGGTGAGATTTTGATCCGAGAGTCGGAATGGAATTCCGAGAGTTGCTGTAGCTTCATTATGTTATTTTGGACTTGCATGCAAGATTTGAAGTCAATCGGACGTGATTTGATAGGTTTCGGCATCGAGAATAGAAGTTGGAAACTTCAAAGTTCATCAAGCTTGGATTGGAGGTTGATTCATGATTTTAGCGCTGATTGATGTGATTTGAGGCCTCAACTAGGTCCGTGATGTATTTTCAGACTTGTTGGTGCTTTTGGTTGAGGTCCCGGGGGCCTCGAGTGTATTTCGGGTGAGTACGGACACCCCGGAACTTAGAAAAATGGAAGGGGCAGCAGTGGTGGTGCGGACCGCACAGCTTTTCGTGCCGCCGCGCAGGTGAGGAACCCGCAGCGTCACTGGTACTTCTTCGGAAGCTCATAACATTTTATCTATAAGGAATTTTGAGGTGATTTAAAAATGAAATTGTAGCCCTTTGTGTCTAGTTTCCCGAAAGATAAAGAAATCGTAATTTGGATATATGTAGAAAAAGTTATGGCCAAAATACTAAAGGGTGTCGCAGCAGCCAAAAGCAGTGCGACCGCGACCATTTGTGTGCGGACCGCACAGGTTGGATGCGGCAGCGTGCCATTTTTGTGTGGTCAGCACAGCTGGGATCCGAGGGGTACATGTATAAATACGAGATTTTGGGTTTTATTTGATATTTTACCCGCGGGAGCTCGGATTTTGGCGATTTTTCGAAGGTTTTTCAAGAAATTCATCGGGGTAAGTGATTCTAACTCAAATTTGGTTGAAGTACATGAATATACCATTGAATTCATCATTTAATTAGTAATTTGAGATGGAAAAATTTGAAGAACTAGGGCTTGGTTTTTTAAATGAATATTTGGGATTTGAGGGAGCATTTGAACTCCGATTTTGGTAAACTTTATATGCATAGACTCATGGCGAGACGAGAGTCATTTTGATGTAAAAATTTCTGGATTTCGATACGTGGGCCCGGGGCTCGAGTTTTGCTAACTTCGTGATTTTCGATGTTTTTCGAGTTCTTTCGATTGGGTTATGTTCCATTAGCCTTATGTAATGTATTCGTTGTGGTTTTGGCCAGATTTGTCGCTCGTAGAGGAGAATTTGGAGGGAAAAGGCATTTCGAGCTAGTCTACGTCCGGCTAGAGGTGAGTAATACTAGTAAATGTTGTTCTGAGGGTTTGAAACCCCGGACTTTCACATCGTAATGCTATATTGAGGCGTGACACAAACTCCATGATATGTGCGGGGTCGGATACTATTAGGGATTGTGACTTGGTCCATCCCGAGTGAGATTTATACTATATTAGCGTATGATACGCACGCTGTGATGATTATTATTGGGCTTTAAGCAGTGTGTGGGGCCTAGTGCCGACCTGTGATATCCTTCAGGAGTTAGTATTACTGTTTTAGCATGATTTGCATATCATTTACTATCAGTCCATAGTTTTAAAACATTGTTTTCAAAATCCAGTCATATTTCAAATGTTCAAAACTCATATGCTATCTTTTAAACATATTTCGGCTGAGGATCATTGTTTATAACTGCCTAAGAGGCTTATGATATATTTTCTGGACTGATTTTGGGTGGCTCGGGCTGCGCGCCGCAGCGGTGATTGGAAACAGTGGTAACATGTACACTATG